GGGAAAGAGAAGAGTTAATGCTTCCCTAGAGATTGAATTCCCTCTGCCTTGTACCAATCCTTCCTCTCAACTCATGCTTTCACACGTTGCTTGTCCCAAAAGCATTCACAGGGGTCAGATTTTTTAAAAGTTTAACTTAATTTCTTAAATATTGCTTTTAACCTGCTGCCACCCCGCCCCCCCGTTCTCAGCGACTATGGCAATAGTTCTTAAATAACTACCATTTTTTGGCTAGAATGAATAATACATCAACTATTTAGTTTTCCCAATTAATAAGATGTCTTTTGATCTTCTAAAGAATGTTTTCACCCACACAATTCTTTTTTAGGGAAAAAAAAAAAAATTCAACTTCCCTGTACCAGAAAAACCCTCATTAAAAATGAATTTCCAGCATGAGATGTCAGAGCAAGGGCAAATGTTCTAATCTGATATTTGCTGTAATTCTGTTGATCATAGGCCTTTCTCGTATACTAATGAAGCATTCTCTTAAAGGAATAACAGGGAGATAGAAGACGTTGAATGGAAACTAATATAGATTTTTTTTACATGACCCAATTGAATAACACCTTGGGAAGACTATGGAAATTTGTGTTTGTTTTTTAGTTATTGGCTTCCTTCTTGGTGTTGTTTGTTAGGAGAGCTGGTTAATCAACTCCTTTTGAAATTCTTAACTTCATAATTTCTCTTAAAGAGGTCATCTACTTTTGTGGCTGGTACACCCTTTGGGGGTGTTTATCTAACCATAGTGAAATGGGGGGTGGAGTGGGATTGCAGGGAGAGGCAGGTATGTTTAATGAAGCGCACCATAGCATCAAGTACACTTAACCCACTCAATCTCTTAAATATATCTAAACTGTGTTTCTCCTTATATTCTTTTATGCACAAATATAGCAAGTGTTTTTACCTACCACTCACAGAAAGTTTCAGGCTGTCTATAACCTAGGGAAGCACTTGGAATACCATCTCACAAATTAGAACAATTTCTCCTATTAAACTGCAATGTTTATTGCCATCCCAGTTTGTTTCATTAATAAATAACAAATTATAGAAAGTGGACATTTAAAAAATGTACACATTAGTTTTAGCTAACATATGAAAAGATCAAAAATACATTTCCAATGTAGAATTGCTTTAACATCTATCTTCTTTGACTGTATTGGTCTTAACTGAAAAAGAAGAGTTAACCAAAGTGTTGTGAAGTTGGAAGAGTTGTTTCTCTAGAAAAGCAAGCACACCACCCAGAAAACTGCCTGTCAGGAGTTTTATACTTGGAAGTCTCTGTAATCCATCTCAATATGGAGTGGGGTGAGATTAAAAACTACTGATTTATTTGACAGAAATATATACAACAGCATGATCATCATATTAAACACCTGCTTAAATTTGACTCTGTAGCAGGACTTAATCACATCTGAAAACTTGAAATTTAAGAAGATATTATAAACTCAGTTGCAAGTAAATTATAGCATATGATGTAGATCGTGGGTTAGAAAATAATTGAAAATAGAGATACTGCTTTAAGAGAAACAAAATAAGATTTTTCACTTGTACCTTAAAAAAACTCAACGTTAAAGGGTCAATATACTATGTATGACTTTTAAAAACGTAAATGATGCAGTAAAATCAATGGTTAATGTGGCAAATACAGCAGGCTTGACCGTGTCAGGGCTGAGGTCACAGATTCAGAGTAGGGAGCAATGTTCCTTGGGAGGTGAATCAAAATTCACATTTCACACATGCAGATTTTGATAGATTCTGATGACATCCACCCAAGTCCACCGCAACTTTGCATCTACCTCAATTCAGAAATAGGTTTAACCTTGGTTATCCCTCACATGTTTGGGTGTTATAAGAAAAACATTGAAAGTAACTTTATTTAACCCTGACCAAAGTCAATTGAGAAAGCAGTAGAAATATAATATTACAAGTACTTTGGTAAGTATTTTTAAGGAAGTAGTTCCTTCCTTCCTTCATTGCCCCCCTCCCTCCCTCCCTCTCTCTCTTTCTTTCCTTCCACAATTAAAAAAATTCTATCTGTGGTCACACTTTTCTACTATTTTATAATTTAATCAGTCTAGAACAGCTATGCTTACATAAAAAATTTCCTATTCTCACATTTTTTTAATTAAAAAAATTACAGATAAGTAAATATAAATGTGAATTCATTAAACTTTCAATTGTTTGAAAAGACCCAAAGATCATAAAAATTTTAGAGGGTAAGAAAAATGTTAAATGTAAATAAGTATATTAAAGTTAAAAAAAAATTGTGTGTATATAAACATGGGGTGTCAGTGCTACCAAATTCCAGACTTCAACATTAAGTTATTTATTTTACAAAATAAAGTAATTCTGTCATGATTTTGTGGTTCAGACTCCAGATTGAATGTCTTTCTTCTCCATGGAGTCAATTCTGACCCTCTTTTATCTGAATTTTACCTACAACCTTTTATTTTTCCTGGACAACATCAAAATGTTTCAGGATTAAACATTACGCAAGTGAAATGGATACATTTCTAAATTTGCTTATCCTGTTTAGTTTTGACAAATATAAACTTGCTCTGCTAGTCTAGGTAACAAGAGCTGGAGAAAAATAAATATTTACAATATATGTTAATGAAAATGGTACAAGTATTTAAAGTATTTAATCATATGTGGTATTTCAATAGGATAATTCATTAGTCCAGTCTTCTAAATAATCCCAAAGTGACATGAATTCCTCTGCAGAATGAATGTCTATAGAGAGTAATCCATGGAAGACAGACAAGCCTCTTGTCATTTGCAGCCTTAATCCATTGCCTAGAGCGTGAAAAGTGCTCAGGATAACAAGTGTGGGAATCGGTAAAATCAACATTATTTTTGGATTTTATTTTCTTAACAATACTGACATCAATAGGCTGGCGGAAACTGACAAATACAATAGGGTCTGTTTGATGAATCAATCTAGTGAAGTAGAAAGAGAATCCCTGCTCCCCCTCCCCCATTCTCCCCCCTTTAAATCCTCTTCATTCTCTTCCTCCTCCTCTTCCACCTACACTCACACAAACACGCGCGCGCGCGCGCACACACACACGGAGAGAGGGAGGGAGAGAGGGAGGGAGGGAGTTGCTCTTTCTCTATTGGTCTATAGACATTAAGTAATGAAAGCTGTAGTGACAATGCTTAGGTCATTTTTTATAAGAATACTAAACCACTTTCAATAAGTGTTTATGTTTTTAATTGTAAGACTCACTCTCTCCTTTCAGCCAAGAAATTTCTGTATTACTGAAATAGAGCTCTCTCCTCCAAATTTCTAACGTGTGCTGTATGTGGGGTTGGGGGGGAGGGTGCAGAGTAGAGAGAGTTGGGGAATAAAGAAGGGAAAGTTCTGTCCTGTTGATCTACATATGCCCGTCCTCAAAAAAGAAACAAAAACAAACAAAAAATAACATAAGGATATCAGCTTTGAGAAAAATTGAAAGAAAATACGAAAGGAAATTTAAACACCTCAGACAACATGCCTGTTTAGAAAAGAATTAATGGTGTTTGTATGACTGCCTGAATACATGCATATATGTCCACAGAAAATTTAGTAACCCTTCACCAGCTCATGAAGACACAAAGATATTCTCTTTATGTTGGTCCTTGACACCCAGCAGGGACTTTTGTGAACTTTGTCATCTTGCTCTGCCCTTTAAACCAAAACTAGGGAAGTGGCTTTAATTAATGAGATGTGATGCATTAAAAATGTTAGCCAGAGCATTCCAGGAGCTGGAAAACCATACATGTTTTTAAATTCTGAGTGTCCTTTTGAGAATCCCCTGTTGTAATTTATAATTCTCAGTGGACCTATATTTGTCTTGAGCTGATTGTTGAAAATGGGCTTTACTAGGATTTTCTTCGCTGAAATTGCAGTGGGGCGGGGGAAGGGGGTGGTTGATCCAAGGGGGTTTCTTGGGAGGAGGGAATGATTGCTAACAAGGCTTTAAAACCTCCAGTGGTTAAAGTTATATTGACGAAAAGGACAGACATATATATGCATATCCATATACGTATATAGGCATAAACATACGTATAACATACAACACACAAGTCCAAGCAGAATTATATAATGAGCATGAGTTGGAAATTATGTAGGTAGCAGAATTCAGATTTTTTTCATCAAAATTGCACCTAAAAATGGCTATAAAACAACGCTTGCCTTGGGAAGTAAATTTATAGCTACATGCCTTTCACAGGCACGTTGGAGTGTTCTGCTCCCGGCTCTAATCTCTACGAGATGTTTTTTGCATGTGTTGTGTGACAGGAGGGAAGGGGAGTGGGCTGAGCTCGCCTGTTCTCCCATTGTCAGCCAGTCTAGTGAGTGTTGGGAAAACCTGTCTGTGGGATCTTGTGTCATCTCTCCCTACATGTGTACAGGAAAAGTCCGCGCTGCTCACGGTTTCTCTCTCTCTCTCTCTCTCTCTCTCTCTCTCTCTCTCTCTCTCTCTGTTCCCCTTTCATTCTGCTTCCCCGGAGCCGAATGAAGCAGGCAGCAGGATTAGAGTCCGCCAGCTATCAGAAGAGTCTAGATAAAAGGAACTGCTTCTTAAGCACCACTGCTGCAGCCCTTGTTGATTTTTTTTCTTTCCACACAACAGTTGTGCCTCATTTTCCGGGGCCTGGCTCGATTTTTTTTTTTTTTTCTCATTATCCGGTGCCTGGCTCGATTTTTTTTTTTTTTTTTTGGAGGGTTTGAAGTTTCTGGGCTTCAGTGACTGTTACAGAAGAAGAGGTGTTAGTGTTGCCTGGAGGTCTTGATTGTCTGCATTTATGAATGAAACTGACCTAAATCACCTGTTACCTCCAGTTTCCAGATTGTTTGAACTTCTGTGGCCTCACAATACAGGACCAGAGACTGAAGCAGCATAGGACCCACAGCGTCTGCAGCATGGGCTGGTTCTCTAGGATTGTCTGTCTTTTCTGGGGAGTATTACTTACAGCAAGAGCAAACTATCAAAATGGGAAGAACAATGTGCCAAGGCTGAAATTATCCTACAAAGGTAAGTTTTTCTTTTCCTTTTATTTGGCTCGCTTTCTAATGCCCCCCTGCCCCCTGCCTCTTCATTCCTTGAACTCCCTCCCAACCTAAACCATAAAACCTTTAGTTTAACCTGGGAAACCTTTGTGATCGTGTGTGTCTTTTGGAGATGATTGAAACACTTTTTTTATAAAAGCATGGCTTCTGTTGGATATATGACAATTTAAATGCAAACAAAGAACATTTAATCACATTTGCAGAGAAAAGCTGAATGCCTGGTAAATGCTGATCTATATATGTGATCATATATCCTGATAATTCTTCTGACTCTACTCCTCTTAAAATATTTTTAAAAACCACTATTGCAACAATGGTCTCTTTGTAGGTGTGAGTGCCTCACCTATAATAATTATTATGATAAATTGTATTTTCTTAGTTTTAGACAGTAAATGGTTAATTGCCATCATGAATATTCAGTTTGTTCAAATCTGACAATCAGATGCTTAACATAAGCAGTAGATCATGGTTTGCCAAGAGAATATAAACTGGAGAGAACAGACTAGTTTTTCCACAGTGTGTTATGATTGTACAAAAGACTGTGTATTTGGCTAATTGGTGCAAAGCTAAAGGCTTTGAAACGTAATGTTATTTGATTCTATAGGTACTTCAGTGAGAACTGAAGAGATACTACTTTCTAGTTGTACAGCTAGCTGTGTGAACTTCTTTTCAGAAAAAGTAAAAATTTAAGAAGAAAAAAAAAGCCTTATCACATGATCAGTCTGGTTACATCTTAATGTGTATGCTTGCTTTTTTAATGAGGATTTTAAAGAAAATATTTGTTCTATATTTGTTTAGATAGATTTTATAGATAGATGTATAATATCATGCTAATATGGATTCCAACATGATATATATAACTTTTAATGGAAGCGAATATTTATATAACTGAGATATTATTAAAATGGAGTTGAAGATTAAACTGTTTTAACTCAAGTAGTTTTACTCCCTAGGGTGTTGCTTTCTTATGATTCTCAAATTTCTACAGTTGGGGGTGGGGCAATAAGAAGCTTCAATTATATTTCGTTTTTAGCCTATGATGTGAAAGAAAATTATTGCATCTATCTGTAGAGATGTCTGTCTACTATACATTGCTCTTATGCCAGAAAAGATATTCTTTAATTTTCACATGATGGGGAACATCTCTTTCTGAGTACTCTAGTGTGAATGAGAACCACAAAATAGGAAAGACAGATGTAATTTTTCACACTTTGGATTAGAAAATTAAACACCTACTAAATGTGTTTGTTTGTATTTAATACTTAGATAAAATACATTGAATTGGAAAGTATATTTATTTTTGGTATAATTTTTTGGTTGTTAAAATGAGAATGAATTTTAAACATTAGCCAGCAGAATGGCAACTGTACTCATTATATAAGGTTTTTAAAAATAATCATATGGCATCCATTAAATATTTAATTAAATCCCAATTGTGTCTTTATATAGTAACTGTCTTTAAATTATTTTCCTAGTGTATGATATTATGGTGTCTGTGTTTTCATCAGTTTTTGTTTTCTATTTTTACTCTTTGACAGTATTTCAAATCCAGTGATTCTTAGGTTAATCGTCCACTTTCTTCAAGTTTATAATCCTCATGAGTAAGTTTTACATACGGGTTTAATTCCTGAAGATGTGAATAGCCATATGCTATAATTCTGGAGTAAGTTTGAAACATGACATGCATTGTAAAAATCTACTATATTTGGAGATACTTGTCTAAGTGCTAAATAAATTGCAAAATCAGTAGGAATTGAGAATTATACCTATTTATTTTGCAAGGATTTTATTTCCATGGTAATGGATTACTCTCCATTAATAGAAGAGGCACCAGTTCTTTCTACATATTAAAAGGTAGCATTTAATCAGAATAGCCCTTTGTTATATACAAATGCTTTAAACTTGTCTAATGAAGTGAGTTGTATATATTGACAAGATGTATATATTTGAAACTGTCTCTGAGCTCTTTTTAGCAATGGTATCCATTAGAATTATTCTGCTTTCCTTTAAACCAAAAACTGCCCTACAGCTACATAACAATTCTATTGATATACCTAGTGCTTGGCAATTTGGTAAAACAAGCTGTGAAATGAACAACAGCAAAAAGAATAATAGGGATGGCCCAAGCAATTTTTCTTCTGTCATTTTATTGGTCTGTCATTACCTTTTTGTCTCTACATCTACCCTTGTTTTTCCAAAGCAACTGCCTGGTAGCCAATTGCCAGTACTTTGTTTCTAAGCTGTAATAGAGATTTTTTTTTTTTTTTAGCTACTTCTTTTTCCTCCTTAATTAGATGTCAAACACAGTTAAAACATCCACTGCTTTGCCCTTAAAAATATTCCAGCATGATTCATGAAGAGTTAAATCCCTGCCAACCCTAATTTCCCATGGTCACTTGTTTTCAAAGATCCACCATTAACCCTCTCATTGCTCAGGTTGCCAAGACGAAGTTTCAGGCAATCACTGTGCTTACTTTCTACTTGTCATTTTGCCTGGTAGGAGATAAAAGAGATTTGATATGTTAAATGAGAAAGAAAGAGAAGTGAGAACAAGAAGGCAGCCTTTGTAGTGGATATACATACATATCTAATAAGGTACCTCTTTACTTTCTAGGAACAGGAATTAAATAGATGTTTTCAGGACCATCTGGAGAAGTGATAATATTAGAAAAATGGGGTAGGCTGGCTTTTCCTCTGAACCAATCTGATTTAGAATCCTTGCGGGGGAAGCAAATGTGAGAACTCTGTAAATCTCAGCAGTCACATACAAATTATCCTCAAGAAACATTCACTCAGAGATACTTTTCCCTTCCTTAAATTCATGTAATATAGCTAAATATTATAATGCTTCTTTTTAAAATTGATGAATAACTGTTTATTTGCCCTACGAAACTAGTCAAATTTCACTTTTCTCATGAAATACCAGATTATCATAAAATCTTCCTTTTGGAATGTGTGGTACAATGAAGACTTCAGAAAAGCGTATGGAAATCACAAGGAAATAAATTAGGTCTGGGGTTTTAAACAAATGACAAACATTCCATCACTCAGTGTAATGAGCTTTTCCAGGACATTGTGTGCTTCAGTTTTAGTAGAAATCAAAGACACATGCAAGTCTGAATGTGACGGTGATCATGTGAATCCAAAGATTAAATCAGTGCCTTTAACTTTACCTTCATAGGGAGGACTTAGTAAATAGCCCTTAAATAAATGGTAGACATTTCAGAGGCTTTCTTTTCATACTTTGTAAAGGTTTTTTTGTTTTGTTTTGTTTCCAGAGTCAAATTGTTTAATTATTGTAAGAATGAGATTATTAGTTAAATCAAAATTGTAGACATATCTTTTTGCTAGATGATAATGTTTAATTAAAAATTATGAATTAAAACTTGCAAAACCTTTTTTATTTGCCATTATTCAATATATTATGACCACTTCAAAATTTAATTTGTATGAATAATGATTTACTAATTAAACTTGTTGACTTTTCTGGGATTTTCATTAGTCTGCCAAAGCACAAGCATATATTTACATATTCATACATATATGTGTACACATATATGAATAGGTGAATATACATGAAGGACAAAATTTATGTTAATATTTTAGAGTTAATTAAAACAATCTTGGCCATCTACACAAGGTAAATTATAATAAAATACTTTACAAATAAAATTGTTATTGGTTTTAAAGATAGTCATATGTTAAATTACATATGTATATTATAGCAGACACGATCTTTTTTTTTAATATTTATTTTTTTATCTTTGGCTGCATTGGGTCTTTGCTGCTATGCGCGGGCTTCCTCTAGTTGCAGCGAGCAGGGGCTACTATTCGTTGTGGTGCGCGGGCTTCTCGTTGTGGTGGCTTCTCTTGTTGCAGAGCATGGGCTCTAGGTGCGCGGGCTTCAGTAGTTGTGGCATGCAGGCTCAGTAGTTGTGGCTCGTGGGCTCTAGAGAGCAGTCTCAGTAGTTGTGGCGCACGGGCTTAGTTGCTCCACGGCATGCGGGATCTTCCCGGACCAGGGCTCGAACCCATGTTCCCTGCATTGGCAGGCAAATTCTTAACCACTGCACCACCAGCGAAGCCCCAGGCATGATCTTTTGAGTCTCATGAAAAGTCTTCATGAATATCTCAAGTATTCAAGTAATAATATAAAATGGAATTTGTCTTATACTGGAAATCTCCTCATAGCTAAAATGGAATGTGTCTTTGAAGAGTAGGGTAATAACATATATATTTTCACAGAGCAAAGACATTCTAAATTCTTTGCAATACCTTATCTCCAGTAGTCACTGCATATATGGCATCAGATCTCTTATTTGCTGATTCTTATTTAGCATGGCCTTTTCTTCCCAAATTCTATTAACTTTAAAAATCATATTTTGGTTCTGAAGTCTTCGATTTGAGCACGCTGAAAACTAGAACTTTTTATTTATCTACTCGACAAGTATATCCAGGCAAAATAATAAAAAACAAAATAAAACGAAATGAACAATATCACATCTTGCGATCCAGTGCAGATCAGATCAAATGAGAGCTAGTGAAAGTCTCCAGTTTGAGGCTTCTCTGTTTGGAGCTGCCAACCAGATTGGCCTTTGAAATAATAACTTATCAGTGCAGAGTTTGGCAAGTAAGAAAATGACTGAGACCACAAAACCACCCCATGTAAGATAACTCACCAACTTTTGGTAATGATGTGCAGTCTTTAATAGCTTAAGGAAACCTGAATACTGAAGAGATGAATTTTCCAATTCTAACTTTTTTAGGTTGTTAATTCTCTTCATATAAATTATTTCCTAGACTCCAGTATTGTCAGCAATATGAAATGCCTAAATATTTGGGCAACTAAATAGGGGTATAGATCTGTGATAACTAATTTTTCTTTGTTTTCTTTTTTTCATTATCATACATCAATCAAACATGATTTAAAAATATGTTGTGATTTTCAGTCTATTATATTTAAAT